GTCCCTGTAAGGTCAAGCTCTACCTTGCTTACAGACGGCCTGTGATCCTGACTTGTGGCGACCATTCAATGTTGGCATGGGGCGGTGGGGGAACAAGTAAAGAATGACCACACCGTCTTTGAGGGGGTGCTGTCTTGGTCACGCGCCAAAAAAGCCGCGTTTGGACAGACGACAGCACCGGCCGTGTTGTCCATCGAAGGTAGCTCCGCCCTACACAACAGCAGGAGTGGCTTTGGCTGCTATAAGCCAAAAGCTGGAGTAAGCTCCGCTTTTGACCGTAGCCTACCGCCCCAGAGGCTTTCAAGGTGAATGCGGCGCCATCATTAAGATGTTGAATGTGCCCCTCGGTTCCTCTATGAGCTGGAGCGGGACTTCTGGACAATAACGTTTTTAAGAGTTCTGTAAGAGCAATTTCACCTTTGGCGGTATCGTAAGCTTAGCACAGCAGATATCGTCGGCGGAAACTCGTATGTCTCATCAGCCATTCTTTATCCACCACGGTTAATCTTACTACCTATTGGTGAAGCACAAGGACGCGGAGCTAGTTGATCATCGCTTCACATTCCCGGTTTGGGGCGACGATTACGAATCGAGTGCGCAAGAGATTGATCACTAGCTTTCTAGCCACCAGAATGAGCTCCAATGATTCAACTCGGTGAATTGAATTCCGTTAGATGTGTTGAGACTCGACAATGGATCGACGGTAGTCTATACTAGTGGCGGTGCCGCGGTCGAGGATTATCTACAAGTTTTTGCACAACAACAAATCCAACCAATCCCCCAGGAAGTTGGGGCCCGGCATCTGGTCAGCCGAGATGCAATATGAGGGCAAGACAGCATGTCTTGGTCAGTTGGGATTTCTGATTCAAGTTGGACATTGCAGATTGAGATTATTATTTTGCTGAGTCAACAGAAGATGGTTCTTCTGCACCAAAATTTCCCCGCGGTGATTTGGATATCTTTGTGATCCCACAAAGGGGCACATTTCAGCTGAGCATAAGTGAAAAAAAATCCAGTAAACAAGCAGAACTCTCGCAAGTTGAAGATTAACAGAGCATGTTTCTTTGAAGAGCAGGGATCCAACAAGGCAAGCCTGAAAATCTGTATTTCCAATACAAATTTAAGAATTTCTTACATCACACATAACACAAATATATTGAATTGTGGAGAAAAACATTAGTATGACCTTCAAAGAAAGCTCTTGGCTCTTATCATTATGGAGCTAGTATAGCTAAAGAGCTCGATTTTGTTTTCAGAGCTACCATTCTTATGGTTTTCTGTTTGTCATCATTTTTTTGTGTTTTTCCTGAAGAACAATCAGGCAAACTTCCCTATAACCGATAAATAATATGAAACCTCCAATTGAACTATCTATTTTTAGGGACATTCAGAACTGTTTTGCTAACACATCCCAAACTATGCAATACAAATGCCATCAAAACCTGGTTCTTGACACAATATTAAAAGATATTTGAGTTATATGGGGTTTAAAAATATATCAACAGTTAAATTATTGGTTTGACTTTGCCCTCATCAAAAATATGTAAAAAAAAACTGGGTTGAACAATGAACTGTTCAACCTGTTTTTATCAAATTTTGGATGATTATACCATTGTCTGGATTTTTGAACATTTCTTAACAGCCGCTAAATCCCCTGGTAGATATAAGGATATGAAGTAACTCTACTTTGAAGACAATCAACAAAAATTGATATTGAAATTCTTGGAAAGAACAAAAGAATATTATTTTCCAGCAGATTACCTTTGGTGTGAAATTAAGAACAGAAATGGTATTTCTGATTCAAATTCAGGCTGCAATCGTCAGAGGATATAGCCTATAGCATGAGTTGGAAACAATAAATATGAATAACTTGTGAATAAAATGGGATATATTAGAATTGATTGTGATATGTGTAAATCTTGAGTGGAATGACAAGCAAATAGCATGCCCAATGATTCACTCCAATATGAATGAAAAAGACTATACTAAAGAACCAGTGATCTAATTGTACTCAGACCATAACTTGAAATTCCCAGTTCAAGAAGAGATAAAATCACACAAGAAGCTTCAAAGATTCTGATTGGGAGTTTCTGAAAATTTGACACAATCCAAATTCATTGATAATACTCAATTCTGGTGTCTTTCAGTGCTGTTGGGTTAGTTTACCCATGCCAAGACTGGTCAAGTTGGAAGGTGATACAATTGTCTACCAGCTGGCACAAGTCTCTTATCCTAATTCACATTAAAAAGCTTCAAGCTTAACCACTTCTTTTGTCCCTTATATATGTTTATAACTGTTTTTATCATTTCCTGTTCACCAGGGTCAAGCCATATTCCTCAGGCTTTAGTCCACTTGCTTCTCATCTCAATCAGTCCAAGACAATCTTTCTTAGCACCACATATCTTTCTCTCTCAGGATTGGAGGTACAGTCAGCTCCTTGGGAAGTTTGAAAATGCTTCACACATCCTCAAGGGTTCTTTTTGGTACTTCAAAGATTCCAATGTAATAATCCCGATCTTGAATTCATGAAAAAGGAAGATTAATGAGTTGAAAAATGATAAGCTACTGTCCATACTTATCTGCCAGTACATTGGTATTGCAACTATTGATTGAAAGAGTTCCTTGACAGTTTGACTTGGAAATGCCTCGCATGAATTTTTGAAAGTGAATCTGCACAAAAAGGTGTGCATGTTGAGTTGCCAGTATTCATTGTAAGGTTATATGTGGCTAGTAGAAAGCAATTTTGAAACTCATCACCCATGGTTTTTGGTTCAGAGTGACTTAATGCAAGTTGCATACATTTTTGCAAGTCACTTGCACTCAACTTTGCAACCCCCTTTTCTAGGGGCCACAAAAATAAAATGAAAGGAAGCAGCTAGCGCTGATGATGTAGCTATATGATCAACACAGCATCTACTTAGCATGGATAAGTAATATTGCATCCAATTGCGCAAACTGTCCCTATGTGATCCTTTGAGATTGCTCAACTATGCAGTCACTCATAGCAATATTTTCATCAAACCACACACATAGATCAGAATCAGGATTGGAGGACATTCTTCAGGCTTGTAGAAATGATAAACGCAGAGTTGACGCCCCCAAGCCGTCGGAGTATAAGCCCTGAAAATACACTTGAAGGGTTCGTAGTGCAGATCCAATCCTTAACCAAGATGCACAGTCAACTGTAACATGTGTGATAATATCATGATAATTGTATTTATAACGAATTTGGCTTGCCCTACCCAAGAATGTCTTGCGAAAACTCCTTCTACCTGAATAGCCTGCAAACGGACTTGTTGTTCCGGCTTAGCAAGATTCTAATTCCTTTGGAAATATTTAGCAACTCGAAGAAAAACTCATTGCTTTCTTGCAAATGAGGTATTGGTCTACCATGAACTTTGCCTCGCACTCCGCATAGATTCACGGCGTCACCCTCATGAGGGTTTACCCTCTTGAACACACGCATGTTGAAACTTTATAATGCTTTTCCAAAGTTTGCTTTGTGGCGATTCTCAAATATTCGAAACATGGCTCAATTTTAGCCATGACATAGAGGAAGACGAAGCAGGGTCTGAGACCTAGTGTGCATGACGGCACACGACTGCCTACCGTTTTGCTTGGTCACCGATTCACCCAGTTGCAAGCTGATGCCCGTGGCCAAGTTGACAGTGACTTGACTTGAATCAACAACGGCTTTCGGGCAATGTCTCAATTTTCGTATCATGTGAAGAAGGATCGATGGTTCTGGATCAACAGTTAGACTCGGCCCATCACATGCCGAGATAACGAATAGTCCATCAGTTTGCCTGGATTATTGTGAATCCATCCGCTTAACATCATGACCAGTGCCTCAAGAGGCGACTTCGACCAGGCTATCCATATGATGGGATGCTGAAGTGCCTTTAAAGGCCCTGAATGCAGAAAATATGGAGAGAAGGCTGGCATTATTTGATAACAAACTGCCTCCATCGGAGAGGTTTGCTGCTTGAGGATGTGAGGCCAGCCATCTTCCGGCGTGGATTCTAATAACGGCCGGGCCGCTTGCGCCGAACCGCTAATGCAAAGTACGGGCAAACTTCCTCATGAGACAGCCAACCAGCCTGCTCGGTCCCAGAATCAAGGAACACTATTAGAGGGCATCTAGGAACACGCCTACAGCGTGCAGTTAGTCTGAGGCTTCAAGTCACAATACGCTCACAAATTGCCTATATCTACAGGGCAGCTTGT